AGAGCCCATGCTCTTCACGTCTGCCCCATTCTCCTTCGTGTCATGCCTAATCTTCTTCTAGCAGAATTGAGGATAGGAAGATAAAAGTAAAGAAAGACTATTGCAGTGTGAGCAAAAAGATAAATAACCATGATGGTAAACTGGGCCTATCGTTTGTCAAATCATTTATTCTGGAAAGGCGGGTTCATCCCAAATATTTCAGGAGCTCTGCAGGGAGAGATGTTCCACACATGTAAGTGTCAGATTTGCAAGGGAGAAGAGATAGGATCAGAAATGGAAACATTATTAATTACCCAATCAACTTTCTACTCTAAATGGAAATAGCCATTCATAAATCCCCTTTATGAGTTTAAGGGTAAATACTCAAACCATTTTCTTCAGCATATCAGGCTCCTGGCTAGAATAAATAAAACCCCAGGCCACTGTGTTGAAACAAAAAAATTATTTTAATCTGTCCATTTTATCACAGTATCCAAAGTAAGGAAACGTTACTGAACCCCACACTGACTTTAGTCTGAAATGACATAGGGCTAAATCCCAGAACAGCATATTTCATTCCTGCATTCAATGAGGATTTGTTGATGACCTACTATGTTCCAGGATCTTTTTGGGTACTCGGGCTACATCAGGAACAAATGACAAAACCTTTGCCCACGAAGCTTACACTCTACTCTCACAATGACTCTTTTGCCTCTGGCATAAAAAGAAAATTAACCTGAACAACTCTACAGTAGGAAAACCTATAGCTTCTCTGGCCTCATTTGAGAATAAACAAGAAAAGCTAGTCAACACAATGGCTCTCTGGGTCCTTTTTAATGACTTTAAATTTCAGATAGACCAAATTTAAGAAGTCTTTGAATCTAGCCCATGAAAGGTAAGCTCATTAAACAGACCCAGGTGAGCTTCTAGACTGCTACATTCATCCATGCACCTTTGTGCTCGCTTAGAGGGCTTTAAGTAAAAGGAAGAAAACAGTTTTAAGTGATGAGAGCTAGAAAGCTAAGAGTCATACAAAGAAAGAAATCAAAATACACCGTCAAGTACATTGACACTAAAGTTCATGGAAAGTACATTTTAGCAGCTGATGAATAAATCATTTTGGATTTCATGGCATGCCTCCATGAAGAGTTCATTGGGAAACACTGCATTCCATGAACAAAGAGTATTGTGGTGTTTGTTTTCAAGGTGCCACTTAGCTTTAAAAGCATGTAGCTAATATTTTGCCTGTGATATCCAAAAGGTAGGTGTAAGGAGAGTAAACATTCCTCAGGTTTTAAAAATAGTAGTATATTAGAACTTGGAAGACAGGTCTAACATACCAAAAGCCAGAGATCTGTAGACTCTATTTAAAATAGAACTTCCTCAGTCCTGAAGCGGCTTCAAACATACCATTGTGCAAAATCAGATTAAATGCTTCCCAGAGATCTCCATGACTGTCCCTTCCGCCAAGTGCTTTCCTTTGAAGAAAATACAAACAGACTGAAGGAAAAATAAAAGTGTATTTTGCCAAAAAGATCATTCTTACTACCTAAGGCTTATCAAAAGCTTAGGCTTGTCAAACGTACACATCTGATCCTCACAACAATCCTGGGAGACAGGTGGGGTACGTGGCATTACCATTTCACAGATAATAAACTAAGACAGCAGGGTTGTCTTGAACAGTTATGAATGCTGCTCACTGCACAAGGGCTCCCAGTCAAGCAGGCCAGTGGGCACCGAGCTACAACCACCTACAGAAAGGAAGACCTTTTTCTAATTTGCATAAATAGCTCTATTTACTTTCCACTGGCCCTATTTATCATGAGCTCGTGGAGTAGGCCCCCTAGATGATGTCTCTTTCTAATTTGCACAAGGGCACAGCATAGGCTGGCGAAAACTGTTCCACAAGGCCACCAGAAAACTACTCTTAATGGAGAAACCACAATGATTGGAATCCAGGTCTACTGACTCCCAGTTTGCGGCTTTAAATGACATAAAGTGAAAATTCTCACAGCAAATGCATCTATCGACATCTTAGAAATAGTCTCATAGGCCTTCCCAGGGATCTCTGAAGGACTGCTTTGGGTAGAAAAAATAGAAGCATAGCGTCATCCATGGTGTTGACACTGTCCCACCACAAGGTCTTCAGTCTGCATATGGTCACCTACACTTTCTCCGGCCCTACCTTCCATAATGTCCTCCTCAGTCCTTATTTACTATGTACCAGGCACTTTTCTAAGTATTTTATAAAAATTACACCAGATCCTAACTGAATGCAGCTACATAAGTGACCTCAGCTATAACACACGGCACATAAAAACCACCCAGCTGAGCCCAGCCAACCCAACAATTGTGAGAATTAAGTTGTCATTGGTTTGGGGCTGGCCCAATGGTGTAGCTGTTAAGTATGCACTCCACTTTGGCGGCCCTGGGTTTGTCAGATTGGATCCCGGGTGTGGATCTACACCCTACTTATCCAGCCATGCTGCAGCATACATCCCACATATAAAATAGAGAAAGATGGGCACAGACGTTAGCTCAGGGCCAATCTTTCTCAGCACGAAGAGGAGGACTGGTGGTGGATGTTAGCTCAGGGCTAATCTTCCTCAAAAAAAAAAATGTCTATCATTGGCTTAGGCCACTAAGTTTTGGGGTGATTTGTTACATGGCCATAGATAACTAAAACACTGTATATTCTCACCCTACACACATCAAAGCTATACCCTTGGATCAGCCACAACCGGTCCACTAAGATGACAAAAGGAAATTGAGACTGGATAAAGAGCACGGTAAAGTTGATTCTGAAACGTGTTATTCCCTCCATAATCATCTGAGTGCCTATTATGTGCAAGGCAGCCCAGCCTGGTGACTGGGCATGTGCGCTTTGGATTGGGATGTGTTGAAATCCTGGCTCTCCACCTGCTAGCTCCTGGAACGTGGAAAAGTTGCTTAAACATCTCTGAATCTCAGTTTCTTCAGGCTGTGAAATGGAAGGCAATCACAACTGCTTCCTGAGGCTGCGGGGAGGAGTAAACATAATATATGGAAAGAACACCCTCCCCTCTGCCCTCTTGCCTAGGAAACTCCTGTTCATGCTTCAGCCATCATTTCACAAATGCCACTTCTTCGGGAAAGCCTTTCCTCACGAGCATCTCCCAGGACTTCAGCAGGCCTCCCTGCTGTCCTCAGTCACGGCACCATGAACTTCACCTGTGTTAGTACACACCCTCCATTGGAATCATGTGTTCATTTGTTGACCATTTATTAATGTCTCACCATCAGGAGACCATCAGCTCCATGAGAAGAGGGTCTGTCTGCTGTGCCCTCCAATGTTTTTCTAGCACCTAGCACAGAGCCTGGCACACAGAAGAAGTTATCTATAAACATGTGTCTAATGAAAGAAAAGCATTTAGCCCAGAAGCTGACACATGCCCAGTACTCTCTAGACGAGAGCTTGGCATTGTGCTCCATGCTTCTGCAGGAGTGAGTCCTGCCCCGAAGAAGCTTCAAGTCTAATGAGGGGAAAAGACACATGCAGAAGTAGCCATGCAACACTGCAGAGGAGAGTCAGCGAGGCCCGGACAAAGTGCCCTCGAGTTCGGAGAAGCCAAAGATCACCTCTTTATGAAGACACTCCAGAAAGTCTTTCCAAAGAAGCAGTGGCATTAGAGCAGCCACACTCCAAAGTACCATTCCTAGCAAAACATGGAGTGTTGGCTGTTCCTTTTCTGCGCCCAGAGGTGTGGCCCAAGGCAAAGTTTACACCAGATCCGTAATTCATTGTTTCATTCATTCACCATTCAGCAGATTTTTCTTGAGGGTGTAGTGTGTGCTAGGCACTATTCTAGATACTGGAGATCACTGAGCAATATCAGCAAGCTAACATTCCCCTCTAAAATGGGCCTCCATGGCAACACCATGGGAACCAGCGTCCTACTCACTCCTTTGTGACCTGGGCCCCCAAACGCATCACCTCCTCTAACAGAGGTCAGGTCTTATCACCAAAAAATTACCTTCCTCCCCCAGCATCTCCCTTTGTTTGGCTTCCAGGTTGCATATGGAGCACAATGCCCAGTGGCTCCTGTCCAAGGCAAACGACAATTCTTGCAAATCTTGTTTAAGAATGTGAAAGCTGAAGGGGAAGCTAAAGGATCTTCTGATAGAATACTCACATCTTAGAGATGCAGAAACTGAGGCCTCGAGAGAAGATGACCTTTGAAAAGTCATCCAGCGAGCTAACTAAAGGCAGAGCCAGACTAGAGTTCAACACCTACTTCCCAGGCCTGGGTGCTTTCGATTTTTCAAGGAAATTTCCCATTCTCCTATTACCGTGAGCCACAGTCCTAGGAGGACCCCCTGGGATAGAGGTCCCCTGAACATTGAGGCCAGAGTGCACAGCTGTAGTAGTACAAACAACAATATTTTAGGGTCCTTACTAAGCATCAGTCACTGTGATAAGCACTGTACAGGAATTATCTCACTTGAATTCACACAACAACCCTTCGAGTTGGTACTATTATTTTCCCCATTTCACGGATTACAAAACTAAGGCACAGAGAGGGTGAGCAATCTGTCTAAAGTCCCACAGCTGTTAAACGGAAAGTGGTGAGGCGGTGGAACGACAACGCCCAGTAAAGTAGGATGATGGCTTCAATGGCCCCCACTAGCTTTTAAGAGGTCAACGATGTAATAGAAAGATTAACAAGTCATCTGCAACCTCAACAGGGCTCGAGAACTTGGGTTCCCTACAACTCTCCCCAAAAGCCTCTCCCTTTAGCTGGGGCAGGGTGTGAACGTGATGCCTCCCACCGAGCCCTATCCTTCATCCTAGACGGGGAGCCTTGGAGGAAAGCCACTTCCACCCTCACCCTGCACATCCCTGGAGCGAACTCCGCAGCTGGAGGGACAGAGGGTCGGTGCGGACTTCCGAGGGGGCAGAAGAGACGAGAGAGGAGAGGGGAGGAGGAGAGACGAGAGGAGAGGAAGGAGCTGCAGCCGGCGGGCCAGGGCGGGGCGGGTACCTTTCGGAGGTAGCTGGCGACCACCTGCTCGAAGGGGTACTTGTACACCTGGTGCACGTCCACCGTGACCCCCATCCCCGCGCGCCGGCCACGCCTCCGCCAGCGCCGGGCCGCCGGAGCTCGGTCCCGGGCCGCAGTCGTCCACACCCGCGCGGCCAAAGAGGCGTGGGGCTTTTTTTCTGCTCTTTTTTCAAACTTTCGAAACTTTATTGGCCGCTTGAAGAAGGAGACAGCCGGCCACGCCCCCGCACCCGCACCCGCCCCCTTCCGCCAACGTAGTGTCTGGGCGGCGGAGAGCCCGACGTGCGGGAGGCGCACCAGGGGCCGGAGCCTGCCTGCCGTCCGCCGCGTGTCCCTGTCTGGCGGGTCTCTCGCCCCGGCGCCTGGAGCGGCCCCAGCGCCTCCCCGGCCTCGCCTGCGGGCCGAAGTTTCTCTGCCCGAGAGCCGCCGCACCACACCCTGGAGACTTGGACCTGGGGATTTGTGCTTTTCTGTCGTCACCTCGCCTGCAGCCATCGAGTAAGCCTTAAGCTGCTCTTGGCAGCGCTAAGAACAGTTATAATAAATACGTAAACTACCCGCCCTCCAAGTTTAGGAGTTGTAATATAAGCCTCCTTGTTGCTGAGTCCGGTGTGACAGAGGTCAACAACCGCATGCTCACACGACGGGGCAGCTGCCTCTGAGGCTGGAGGTTGGGTCTCAAGTGCAGGAAAAGTGGCCCACATCACCTGGGAGTGTCGGGAAAAGAAAGAGTGGTTTAGTGTCTCTGATTCCAGAGGGAATTCCTGTGCTCATTAAAGTTTCAACACCGTGGAGCAAGGAACAAAGGGGCACCAAAACGATCTTGAGCATTCTTCCCTCGACTGTACAGATTTTACGAGAAGGAGCAAATGAATCCATTTATTCAGTGTTGTTCAACATAGCACTTACGGAGCACCTACTGTGTGCGGAGCGCTGTGGTAGCACAGGATTCAGCGGTAAATAAAGCACGGGCCCTGCTGTCCTGTAGGATGAGTGAGCTGGGCAATTTCACAGCCAATAAACAAAATAGGAAAATAAGCAGGGTAATAGATGAAAGCATGATTTTAGCTAGGATGAGTAAGGAAGGTCTCTGAGGTGGTGACTTTTGCATTTATAATTTTATAATCTCGCTGGCCCCTGGCACACAAAGTCATACTGGTCTGGCAAAACCCTATCCTTGCATAAATCCAGCTCTGCGCTAACTCACTGAGTCACCCAAGGCACTGAAAGAGACTGGAGGAAAAATACACCCATAGATCAGGTCTCTTTTTAAATTCATAACCAGGAGCCTTGAGGGGCCTTTTAATGCTGCCAGACAAAAACACTACATTTCTCTAATCCACTTGCTGTGGCACACTCCTCCCACCTCAACCCTCCAACATCTCCCTTCCCAGCCTTCTTCTCAGGTGATTACCTCGATTCCTGTTTCACTTAGTAAATAGGAAACGCCTCACTACCACATCTGTCTACCCACCTATCCCAATGTCCTGCCTTCTCTCCTGTTCTTGTCGATGAGACTGACAGTGCTTGGTTTAGGGTCAGTCTCTCCACTTGTCCACCAGATCCAGCAGTGGGCTGGCAAATGGTCAACAAACAGCTCTCCTTTAAAACACTAACCAAAAGAGGCCCTGATTTCTAGTGGTTACGATTTCTGTGATGTAAATACTCCCACCACGGCCAATTTCTAACTACCAACACGATGTCACTCAGTGTGGAGTTGGGAAGAGAAGGGCAGGAGTGCCGTTGTTGGCATTTCCACCATCCACGTACTATAGACATAACCACAAAAGCATAGATAATGGTAAATGTAGTAATGTAATGAGGCAGGGATGAGTTTTGAATGCCTATTACCTTGTTAAATATAATTTATTTAGTTGTAAATTTATGTCATTTAATATTTAATAACAGCTGTGTTTAACAACTAGCTGATGGGATTCAGAACACAGCACCCCAAAATATGGTACCATGGCAAATGGGGTATTTTAAGCTGAAGAAGTCTGAGAAAACAGAAGCAGAAAGGTCTCTCTGACTTTTCCCCGCCCTTCTCCCCTAAAGGAGGTCATAAGACCCTCTTGTGAGAGGTGCCCTGTCTACACCAGGAGGAAAAGAGCATCCTTATTTCCAGGGTGGAGAGCCACCATGAAGAATCTGAACAAACAGGCCTTGCCCAGTTTCCCCCAGTTACTGCACCTACCTCATACCCTTTGTCCCAGCATATGTCTGCACAACCGTCCACTTTTCATCAAACCTAGTATAAAAACCCTCAAGTTTATCCATTTCTTCAGGTCTTCATTTCCTTATGAAGGCTCCCAGGTCACATAAAACTTATAGTAAGTAAATGTGTCTGCTTTTTTCCTGTTAATCTGTCTTTGTCAGTTTAATTTTCAGACCCAGTCAGAGACCCTAAGAGGGTCAAGGAAAACTTTTTCCTCCCCTGCGCAGCTCTACCGCACCACTAAAAGTTCCTTGTCCTCCTTCACGTTCAAGGACATGCCGTTAGCCGTATGCCCCCTCTTCCTTGCATCATCAGTTTCCCTCTACTGGATCATTCCAACCAGCACACAAGTACACTGTGATTTCTTCTGCCTTCAAAAAATCCACTCTTAACCCGGTGTCTTCCTCCAGCTCTATTTCAATTCTCTGCTCTATTTTTGTTCCTCAAAAGAGTTGCTTATAATCTCTTGAACCCCTTCCAGTCAGTTTGTGCCCCGTCACTCCCCTGAAACTACTGTTGTCAAAGTCCCCAATGACCGAATTGCTAAATCCACTAGTTAATTCTTCATCTCCACCTTACTAAAGCTGTGGGAAACATTTCCTTCAACTACTGAATGAGGAGTGGAGCAGCGAGTTAGGTGCCAAAGCCGTCACATGGTGAATGTATGTATAGAGCCACTCTACTGTATCACCGGCCCCTCCTTACAGAAAAACACACACACACCAGTCCCTCTAGGGAACTCGGCAGGCCCACAAACGAGAGAGGATTTACTTGTGGAGTTTATGGTGTCCCTTTTCTGTGTCTGCTGCCAGAGAGTAGCTGGAGACTGGGAGTGAAACAGAAGCCCCTGCTGGCTGGGCCCTGTGCCCCCACTCCACTCTGACCACCGATTTCTTCCCGAATGTATTCTTAGGCAGCTACTGGCCAACTCCTAATTAGGTGGCCACAGAAGGCCAAGGTTGTGTTCTAAAAGATTAAAGGACCCAGCACCTGCTGGCTCTGCTTGAGCTGGGTGGTTGAGTGACTTGTGTAAGAACAGGTGCCACCTGCCCATTCCAAGGACAACAGGGCACTCTGAAGGTGGCAATGTGGGCCAGGCTTGACGAGGGAGTCCACTGCCAAGTCACCTTGTGGCTCAGAGTCACAGCCAGTCTGCACAACAATAATCTCACTTGCTGTGTCACCAAAGAAGAGAGAAGGAACTGTGAAACAAATTCCCATTGCTTTGAAACTGGGTGGCTTAACTAGGCAGGGACTTGAGTTTGGAAATTTGCTGAACAACCTTACAAGTTCATGACCTTATTTGGTCTTAAAGATACCAAACTCATCTTTGTACCTTTCAGGCAAGGCACAGTGGTTCGAACATAGTAGACATCCAATACATTTGGATGGAATGAATGGATGACTGCCCCTTTATAAATGCTGTGAGCTTTAAGTGGACAGAGAGCTTCAGCACTCACCCTCCCTCCTTGCTCTCTCGCCTCTTTGCTTTTCTCATCCTCTTCCTGCTGGTTCAGCTCCCTCTTCTGATCATCCTGACCATCTCTCTGTCACTGATCTTTTTTGTCCAGTCTTGTAATTGTCTATGTAAATTCTCCAGTGAACTGTGAGGTTCTCCAGGCTGGAAGGAACTGTGTGTTATTCACCCTTCCCTATCCAGTGCTGAGTAAAGAGAACCTCAGTCCTCATCCTGTATTTCTCCCTTATTCTCATGCTGCTACCACATTCACAACACTTCTGACACTAGATGTGGAGGGGTTTTCCCCGTACCAAGCAGTTCTGTGACACCAGCTGGGTGTCCTACAATTTAACTCAATTCTGACACTATCTACCTGGGGATAGCATCAGATCCCATAGGTTAAGGGCTCAGTCCCACAAGACTACACCCTACCCCGTTCCAGATTTTGATCATAAGTCCGAGTTGTTACCTGAGCTTCTGAGTGATGGGCTGTAAATCAGAGGTTGCCATGACCTCCTCCTTGGTTCGATTAATTTACTAGAGCAGCTCATAGAACTCAGGGAAATGGTTTATTTACTCTTTATCAGTTTATTATAAAAGAATATGATAAAGGATACAGACGAACATGCAGATAGAAGAGGTACATAAGGGCAAGGTATGTGGGAACGGGCACAGAGCTTCCATGCCTTCTCCACGTGCCCCACTCTCCCAGCACCTGCACATCTTCACCAACCTGGAAGCTCTCCAAACCCTGTCATTTTAGGATTTTTATGGTGGCTTTATCACATAGGCATGATCGATCATTAACTCCATTTCCAGCTGCTCTCCCTTCTCTGGAGAATGGGGGTTGGGGCTGCATTCCAAGCTTCTAGTCATGTCTTGATCTTTCTGGTGACTAGGCCCTATTCAGGAGCCCACCCAGAGTTGCCTCCTTAAAACAAAAAACACTCCTATCACCCAGGAAATTCCAAGGGATTTAAGAACTTGGTGTCAGGAACCAGGACAAAGAACAAATATTAGAACAAAAGATATTCCTAGTGCTCTTATCACTTAGGAAGGTACAAGGGTTTTAGGAGCTCTGTGCCAGGAAAGGGAAAGGTGAGATGGGGCAGACCAACATAATATATATATATATTTCTATTATTTCACAAGTGCGTAGCAAAATGCCTGGCACATTGTATATGTTGAATAAATTCAGGAGTGTACTTACATGGAGTGTGACCTTGAGCAAGTTCCTTCCTCTCCCTGCGCCTCAGTTTCTCCATCAACAAAATGACCAGGTTGAAATTTAAATTCCCCTCTGGCTCCCTGAGATTTCAGATGCGGGCTAGAGAATCAGGGCAGGCAACATGGATATAGTTACTGAAATCAGGGCACACAGCAGGAATTTGCAAGGAGAACAAGACAAAATCTCAGAACAGTTCACGGTGTCAGAGTAAGTAAGACCCATGGCATCATGGAACCAGACTCCTCTTCCCCCAGGTACAGACGAGATTCATCAG